CCTGGTTGGTTTAGAGGCAGAGAGATGATAAGAGAGACGGTGTCAGGACAGGAGTTTCTCTGCATTGAAAGAGATGATCAGACACCGAGTTACAGCAGTTTGTAACTGGAGCACCCATCTACCAGACATGTGGAACTATAAGGAGCCTTGAGATGATACACAGACACAGAACTAATCCAGATAAGAGCCAGAGATGGTAGCTCCCCTTTGTTTACAAGTGCACAAGGAGAATACACTAACACCAATAAATTCAAATGCAGTTCCCTTAAAGAAAGATGTTCTCATGAATAAAATGGGTAAGCTTACTGATTAACAGCCAGGCCCATTACTGATGAGTGCATAAATTCTGTATTGTCCCAGCTGCAAGGAGTTACTTACACCATTATTAACTTATTCATGGTGAGCAATTCTGGGACCATTGGGGATTTTACAAGAATGCAACCTGCTTCTTGTCTGTAAACTTCCCAAGTAACTACTGAGTTTTCTTCTCAGCGTTCCTGCTGTATTTAGCACTCCAGGTCTCACAGCCACAACTTGGCTTTCCAGCAAATTCACACGATATGAGCAATTTAAAGAGTGGTTTGACTTCAGGATTCACCTAACAAAGAACCTTTTCACCACCTCCCACAAGTTTTGAAGCTGTTACAATAAAAGGATAACACTGAAGGAGGAGTGAAGAAAATGGCCAGAACAGGACTGCAGAAAGAATCTTTTTTTGAGCAACATTCATTAACAATTACATTTTCTTCCATGCCTATTATTAAATCGCTGTAGCAAGAAGGACGCAGCATTAAGATCTGCAGAAATAATTGTCATAATTATACCTAGAAGAATTTGAAGGAAACATCAAAAAGGCAAAAGGCTATATTTCTCATCACCTGTGAGTATCTTGTGGGTCAATACCTTATACTCTGTTACCATGGCTTTCACCCCAGTACCATACACTTAATTTCATAACAATTTCTATATAAAAGGGAAAATCACTTTTACATGGGAAGGTTTATTTCCACTCCACACACACAAAAAAACCTGCCCTGAAGAATAACACTGTCACTACCTTTAGAAGCCAATGAAGCTTTTAGCCACAGTGTCAGACGTTCTCCATGAGGCAACCAGTTTCCAGCTGAATGGGGACATACCTAGATACCAGGAGGCAGGGTTCAAAGGCTCTCTCCTACTACAACTCAATCCACTTTCTGCCTTCATTTAAGTCTTTCCACATACAGTGCCCAGTCACAGCTTAAGGTCTTATATCATTCTACTGTACCTTCCCTTAAAGATTTGGCCTTGACTATTCTGTTATAGTAGAACATGTCTGTTAGGACTCATATCTCCTGAAGCAGGAATTAAGTTATTCTAAATAAACACTAATTTTCTTCTGAAATCTCAACTTCCTTGCAGAAGATGTGGAGAAGGCAACCATGCGCCATAAAAACCAAGGACATTTTTTCCCCAACCCGAGTTGTTTTTAGAGATGCCAGATACAAAATCCTTCCTATGGCATGAGTGCTTTCTTGTCTGTACACAACAACAGAGATGACATGTATAAGGTATTCTTGATGTCATGGAGACAAACATTCATTTCTCGCTTTTCCTTTTCACCCCTTTATTAATAGAGATGTTTATTCATTTAACCTAACTACATAGAGTCTCCTGGATAAGTTCAAGAAAAAAACCAACATATATAGTCTTATAAGGTAAAAGCACTTGGAGGTTTGTTTCTATAAAGCCTCAAAGAACTAGCAAAAAGAGTCAGTTACTTACATGTAATAAATAGATGAAATTAGATGTAATGCCATTCAGAGAGACCCAGCCAGGCTTGAGCAGTGGTCCCAGGTGAACCTCATGAGGTTCAATATATCCAAGTGCAAGATCTTGCACCTGGGTTGTAGCAATCCTTGATATCAATACAAGCTGGGGAGCATAAGGACAGAGCACAGCATTACTGAAAAAAACTTAGGAGCACTGGTGGATGGCAGCTAGATATGAGCCAGCAGAATGTGCCTTCGCAGCCCAGAAAGCCAACTATATCCTGGGCTGCATCCAAAGCAGCATGGTCAGCAGGGTGAGGAAGGTTATCCTGCCCCTCTGTGTTGGTGGGACCTCACCTGGAGTACTATGTACAGATGTAGAGTCTCTAGTACAGTAGAGATACAGACCTGTTGAAATGCCACAAAAAATGCTTCAAGGGATGGAACACCTCTTCTACAAGGACAGGCTGAGAGAGCTGATGCTGTTCAGCACAGAGAAGAGAAGGTTCTGGGGAGACCTGAGAGTGGCTTTTCAGTATCTGAAGGAGGGCTGTAAGAAAGAAGGGACAGACTCTTTAGCAGAATCTGTTGTGATAGGCCAAGCAGAAACAGTTTCAAACTAAGGGAGGGGAGATTTAGGTAGGATATAAGGAAGAAGTTTTTTACGATAAGGATGTTGAGGCTAAGATGGTAATATTGGTACAGGTTAGCCAGAAAAGTGGTGGATGCCCCGTTCCTGGAGACACACAAGGTAAGGCTGGATGGGACTCTGAGCACCTGATGGAGTTGTGGATGTCCCTGATCTTTGCAGAGGGGTCAGATGACTTTTAAGGGTCCCCTCCAACTCAAGCGATTCTGTGATGAATGTGAACCATGCAATTACAGAAAATAATAATTTCCTTGAAGGATGTGACTGATGTCATACAATTATTTATTATATCTACTCAGCATTATTAATGCTTATTTCCTCCTTTTTTGTTGAGAAAACAGGCAATGGGGAGGTAAAGAATAGTTGGGCAAGACAGAAAAGGCCTGCTAGCTCAAACCAATAACTAATGAAGTTGCTTCAATACGGTGCTAAAAAGTAACTGGTTGTAGCAAATACCCTTCCATAGTTTTTCAACAAACATCAAGAACAGATGTCCTTGATTCAATGTCTTTTTTACAATGCAACTAATATACTCAAGCAAACAGAAATATACTTTCTCTTCTCAGTAGATAACCTGAATCTAACTAGAAAATCAAAGTTCAAGATGCAGAAGATTCTGCCAGTGGGAGAACAAGAGAAGAGAGAGAGTTACAAAGCCAGCTGAAGTGGCTGAAAGATTCCCAAAGTATTTACAGCAATTGAAGCAACTGAGCTTTATTCTTTGATCAATACAGACACTTAAAAACAACTTGCCCTTTAAGGAGTCTGCTTAAAAAGAAATAAAAACACAATAACACCACAGTTTGCAAAGAAAAACAAGAGCTTTCAGTACGTTACCACAAAGAAGCAGATACAAAAGGTAGTGACTCTTCCCACATAATCTTTTTATTCATTGTTTCCAGTATCAGACTACATTTTGCAGCAAGTTTTAGTTCAACTTCCCCTTTAGAATTAATCAGTCTTCAAGAGCAGCAGCTACTGACAGAGGTCAGATTGGCTCATCTCCACTTGTCTGTCAGTTTGCTGCCATCACCAGAAGCAGTCTTTCTTCCTTGCCTTCTCAGAACCTCCTAATTCCTCCCTGTTCCTTATGCTGAAGCTCATCCAACCCAACAAAAGTTACTTGAGCTTGGGAACTTCACAGAAACCTATCCCAGCAAAAGGAGAGGAACAAAGGGAGGGAGAGTTTCTCTTTTTTTCAGTCTTACTGCTAGGCTAGTAATATAAATCTGCTCCGGAGAGGTCAGAGAAAGCAATAGAATAGTTAACCAGCACAAGCAAGAGTGGAGGAGGAAAGACTGCTCCTTTGGCTGGCTACAAATTGCTCAACTAGATCCATTCCTTTCTTTCTACAAGAACTTCTAGCTACAGCTCTAGCACCAGCTGGATAAAATTAGATTCAAGCCAAGCCACAGTTCCTATATGAGCCCCATCATCCCAAGCTGCCAAGCAGCCCAAACACATTAAGAACCATCATGTGTCCCTATTTCTCTAGGTCTCCAAGCAAACTCTTCCTTGCCACATCCGATCTAGCAAGAGAGCAGCACAGTAGGAAACAGAAATTAGCATGAGGTGTCAGAAAAACATCAGGGTATGTTCTAGAGCTTGGAAGACCCTTTTGTTACTTTGTGCTAACATGTTCTTCTCCCACATTGCACTCCTACTGTAGTGACGTTTCACTTGACACTCGCCTTCTTCCACTTCCTGACATCAAGCCTGCTGGAGCTCAAAATGCATTTGGAGAATGCTCTCAGAAACATGGTTTGATTTTCGGATGGTCCTATGTGGAGCCAGGAGTTGGAACAGTTATCCTTGTAGAACACTACCAATTCAGGATATTCTATCATTCAATGATTATGACTTCTCAAACCACATCCTTTTTGTTTTGACAAGTAAAATTTTTCAATCTGTATTTCTCAGAAAACCTACCCAACCTAGCAGAATTTGGCAAGGTTTACAAAACAGAATCAAGCACAAGAAGGAAAAATGATCCAAGTCTAGTTTATCAGAATTTTTACAGACGTAGACTTCCTCTTCACTTTCTATTTATAATTCAAGAATTGCTCTATAAGACTAAGTAAATCCTGCAGGTAGCAATGCATTCTTCCAAGTACAACTGAGAATGAAACTAATTCTTGTAAATCCTCAAGATTCCTTGAAAAAATATCTTGCTCATATCTGCTCTTAAACAAATATGAGCAAAAGCTACAGATTAAATTTTTCTTTCAATTGTATTAGTGCAAAACTATTAAGAAAAAGATTCAGAGATAGCACCAGCAGTGCTAGTGTTGATACCTTCTGTTAGACTTTCCCTGACACTCCAAAGAGCAACTGACATCAAGGTTTGCTAATGAAATTTGCTAAGTTTTAGTTGTGCAGGTTGAAGTTTGCAAAATAATGTGTTTCACAAGTAATTTTCCTAAAAAAAAACAATAACAACAACTTAAGCCTTTGAACAAGAGTAGGAAGAAAGTCTGAATGAAATGCACATTGCAGTCTGACAGTGAAGCTTTAGTACTGGTGTGCTGTAGTATAGAAAGAGAACATTTTGGAAGGCATTAAATTCTGACAGTGACTGCAAGACTTCTGTATTTTCTCAGGAAAGGAGCTCCAGATTTTCAACAAGGATCGTACCTGAAGGATGGTGAAGCTAATGCAGACAAAACAGGTTTGCTCTGTAATCCAAAATCACTAAGAATTTAGGCACCATCTTAAATACAAGTAGGCTTTGAGTACATTAGTTTAGGGAAAATCCTCTGCAAAAATATATTGGCACAGATGTTCTTTTCACTTGTTACCTTGCTAAATAAGTTCTTTACAGAGAGTGGTGAGGTGCTGGAACAGCTGCCCAGAGAGGCTGCGGATGCCCCGTCCCTGCAGGTGCTCAAGGCCAGGTTGGATGGGGCCCTGGGCAGCCTGGTCTGGTATTAAGTGGGGAGGTTGGTGGCCCTGCATGTGGCAGGGGGTTGGAGCTTCATGATCCTTGAGGTCCCTTCCAACCCTGGCCATTCTGTGATTCTGTGTAAACAAAAGGTAATATGGGAAAGGAGAGGAGTGGAGCCTGATTTGTTTGAATTGTTGAAAAAACAAACCTTCAAGGAAAAAAAAAAAAAAAAGAAAAAGAAAAAAAGCCATAATCTCAAAGAAGGTCTGGCTATCTAGTTAAGGGAATCAGAAAGGATAGTCATCTGGATGACTGGCTGCAGCTTCACACTTACCCTATTGAGCTGTGGCCTATCTGTTGCCTGGTTGCTCAAGGCTGAATGGATTGAACTTAGATTTCTTACTGAATGGGCAATAACAATGGGGAAAAAGAATAGCAGCAAAGAATCCACTAGACCATTCCATCTTAAAAACTTCGCCTAGTGCCACATAATACACTAGAAGAATAAAATCCAGTCTTTAAAGTCATTTGTCTTAACTTTATTATCCTTTTTTCCAGAAGACGTCTGTTTCCTCTGCTGCTTAGCATGTTAACTTGATAAGGCCAGACAGTCAGCCCAAGTACCTCTTTCAATACTCCTGCATTCATTCCCAATCACAGTTCAAAAAGAGGACTATGTGGCTCAGTACAATTAAATACAGAATATGAGCAGCACCTAAGTGAATTCTGTACTGGCAAGCTCAGTTCAAGGAATTTCTAACTATCCCACACTTGATGTTTTTAAGTGCTCATTAAACAAATTTGTTCTATGAATTTAAGGTCAATCTCTGCTCTAAGCCCATGCTTTTATACTATCTGGGGTCTGCAGTCCTTTCTCTTTAACAGAAACATACTGCTGACTTACAGAATACACATAAAACTCTGATCAGAGTAGCAATTAATCAAAACAGTTCTTTTTCACTCCTCCTGAAAGATTCTCCACAAAAAGCTCCAAGCAATTTTTGTTTTTTTCTCTCAAGCTCATGCTGGAGGCACTTCTCTTTTCATTTGCCTCTTTCCTTCCTTACTTTAAAACACACCCAACCACAAGCAGATCAAAACCTGCCAGTTTGTACTTGCACTCCAAGTGGTCTCAGAAGTATCTTCCCATGTTTCAATTATCGTTAAACAAAAGGGCATATCACTGTTCCCACTTTCAACCAGAATGAAAAGCAACTGGCATACCAATCAGTCTCAAGGAGATTTTTACCTAGTCTTTAAGGATGTGAAAAGCAATAACCAACAATGGTAAGTTTTCAAAGGGCAACTTCCATCTAAAAGTCCAATAACACAGAGTGCACTTGAAAGGATCAGGGCCTTGACGTGTAAAATCAGCACCCAAAATTGAGAGAAAGTTTTGACATTTTAACCTTAATCTTATTCTGTCAGTTTCCTCATCTAGAAGATAAAGGATGGAGCTCTGAGAGATCCTTACATGAAACAAGGAGTCCAAAGAAAGATAAGAAAGGACGCTCACAAAATCCACATGACTGTGAATGCTGGGAACAGCAGAGACAGCATTTACTTCTGATGCACTGGATCTGAAAGCAATAAAAAGGATGTTGGAGAACAGCAACATTGGCTCTAGCTGAGTACAAACAGCATTGCTACTTCTCTCCCAGAGCTATTTCATCATAAACATTGGAGACATTTCACAAATTAATTTTCAATTTTGTCAGTTTCTGCCTGGGTAGCATTATGAGGAAATGTAATGATAGTGATGGTAGGAATTATGAAGGGAAAGAACAGAGGTCCATTCCTGAACAAATTTAACATAAAATAATTATTCTATTCAAGTATTCCATGCAGACAAAAACTTTGCAGCATGCAGAATAAAGGCATCTGGTTGGCTTATCTCTTTTCAGAGATTTATAGAAAAATGTCAGTAGCGTGTCTACAGAAAGACAATAAAATATATACACATATATACAAGTATATACACATAGCTATAGATAGATATATATATAAATACATACAAACTAAGGCTAACAACATTTTTCAGGAAGACCTGCAAGAGAAAGAAAAACGTCAGGAACTGGTTAAGGGGAAAAATACAAGGATAAAAGGCAATAATTAATTGGGTTGCCTCTTCCCTTCCCTTCTTCACATGAGGTGTCCATGTGAGATGAAACCAAAGGAAAAAAACTTCCTTGCAGGGAGCAAAGGCAAACAGGGATCTGCATTTCATGATCTTGTATCTCAGTTTTTCACCATATCTCTGAAAGGATGACACTAAAGGGACACCATTGAAAAAAGCTGTATTGATATTTAGAATTTAAACTTCAGTGCATTATTCCTGGAACTATTAGAAGTGCCTAGGCTCAAAATGGCTAAAACCAGTTACTAGGAGCTGTGAAGTTCTAGCAGTGACAGCATTTAGGACAACTGAAGAAGACTTGTAGAGAAGGGAGAAGCTGGAAGGGGACTACATTTCATGTTACAGAACAGAAGAGCAGCTGCAGCTATCTGGATGAGTGGAAGTCACCCATTTCCTTCAAGTTCAAATAAAATCTAGATATGAAAGTGGGATGAGTCCTGCTGTACAATTTTGATTCCTACTTGAAGAAAACAAGTATTTGTCAGGAGATCATAGCATTTAGCCAGTTTCAGAGATGCAAATTACAGGATCACCTTATTCCACCTCTGCTTCATCTCTATGTTCACTTCTAAAACTTCAGCAGGTACAAGGAGGAGTCTGTTATTAGGCACTTGCTGAAATGCAATTGTTACTGGATAATATACCATACAAGAGTCCACAGTCCATACAAGAGTCCACACCAGAGTTACCATGCTTCTCGGAAACTCTAGCAGGCTGAGGCAGCAGCCCTTCCCACTGAATGCTTTGGAAAATTTGAACCTATCTTGGTATCCACACCTCAAGGCTGATGACTATTGTAGGAATTAACTGAATACTGCTGGTTAATCCACTCTCCTCCAAATGTTAAACTAGGTTTTTTTAGTGTGTTCAGCACTGAAATAAGTGCCTGTAATTTTGAAGCAGGTAGATTTCTATACGACGTATTTGTGACATTCAAATTATTCCTGCCAATGCCTTTTGCAGTCTTAGAAGAAAGAAAAGGCCAGCACAATGAAGGATGCTTTTGTGTAATTTACACTGTTAGTTTCTGGTTGATATTTAAACTCTTTCTTGCACATGCACTATATATTCTGCCTCACTGACCAGCAAATTGCATTCAGAATCTAATTTATTAAATGGTTTCTGCTGTCAGGAGAATGTTCTCACTGTAATAGTGATATTTTATCCTGTCAAGAAAATGATTACGCTAAAACATCTTAGTAAATACCATAAACTACCCAATAACATCAAAAATTGAAGGTGTACAAAGGCTATCCAATTACTCAGGAAACTTCCAAATTTTCAGGTAACAGAACTCATTTTCTTCTTGAATGAGTAATCAAGGAAATATCATTTTCTTTTATACTGATCATGGTACAAGGTACAGCCTAAGCACAGGAGCATAAAATGGTCTATTACATTTTCCTTATTAGTATTAGAAAACCATTTTCAAAATTATTTATCTGTTTTTTGTTGGTTTTTTTTTTTTTTCTGGGAAAGGAACCTCTTTTCTAGATTTTTTTATGCCCTGTCTCCAAATTCGTAGCTGTATCAGGATAGAAGGACTTGGTCTCAGTGAGAAGTTCTGCCCTTGCTGAATGTCCTGCCATTAAATTCAACGGGGCCAGTAACTCTACTGCTGTATAGGGTTAACTACAGGAAGATTATTATTTGACACCAAGAATCATCACAAGACTTCATTGATGAGACTTTGCTTGTGGTGAGTGTCAAAAATAACCAAAGCAGAGTGAATACAAAGAGCACAGCCAGGATACAGTCATCTGAATGTCCTGAAGCTTGTTAGCAGAGCTTGCTAAGGTTTTGTATCACCATAAGAAGTTTAAGTTTGAAGGCTTCTTGTTGACAAATTCTGTACCTCACAGAAACTAAAATAACCTCTGCACTGCTAAAGGTGTGCTAGGAGCAGTCTCAGCATTGCCAACTATCTTTGTCTTAGCTGCACCCACTTGCCAAGGTCCACTCATGTCACATGGGGAAGATCTCAGGTGTGGAGCACTACAATGCCAAACTCCACTCTCATTAGTAAAACAACCTTGATTAAATGTGGAATAGACTACTGACATTTACCAGGGCTGCTCCAAAAGTAATGCCCCCTATTTTATTATGTCAACCAGTGACATCAGAGGTGGATGTTGATTGTATGGCAGTAGAGATTGAACCTTCTTACCAATATTCCATCACATTTTGTTGCTGTGTAACAGAAGGCAACAGAGGGCCATTCTAACAAAATAGCACCTGATATGGAAGGGGATATGAAGCAAAGGTGCATCACTGAATTCCTCCACACAGAAAACATTCCATCCACTGAAATTCATTGACACTTGCTGATTGTTTATGGAGACCAAACAGTGAATGTGAATACAGCGAGGCAGTGGGCAATGTGTTTCAGCAGTGGTGACAGAGACAGTGGATCATCTCCACTGGGGCAGATTGTTATTACTGCAGACTTTTGTTCATTACTGGCAAAAACACACAGCTAATGGTAGTGGCTATGCTGAAAAAGAGCATTTTCTAGCTGAGAATTGACTCTATTCAATAGTGTTATTGCATTGTGTCTGCAGTAGTTTCCATTGAAATAGGTAGGAGGCATTACTTCTGGAGCAACCTACATAGAAACACGTCAGCTTAAACAAGGCATTTCCTCACA